TACACTTCAGTTCACATTCCCACAATATGTATTTGCACAGTAAAAATATATATGTGTAAACACAGTAATAGTTCTTCATATTTCCATTCTGGCAAACAGTATTTTTATTCTGCCAAGTATGTTAACATGTAAAAAAGATGTAAGTCTGAAGTAGGTGTTTAAATTATGGATGTGAACAAATGGCAGATAGACTTAAAAAAAAGGAGTGGGAGAGGGGAAAGAAAGAAGAAAAAAAGCCCAACAAACTTCTTCAGGGAGTTACCTTTTATTGTTGTAATTCTTTATGCAGACCCTTGCTTACACAGTTCTGGCTTTTGAAATTGTTTGGGGCATGTATGTTGAGCTAGTGTAGCAACAGTTTCAGGTGTATGTTTTTTGGGGGGAGTAAGAGAGAGAAGGGTCTGAGATCTACTCAGATAAAAATTATTAAAATTCTTATATATACACACACATGCTTCGTGCTTTTTGCCTATCTGTGAATCATGGACCAAAGACTCATGGTTAAGCTGGGGTGTGGGTGGGAGGTGTGTGTTGGATGTTAGGATGTGCTGTAAACTAGACCCCTGAATACATATGGGTCAAAATAATCTTCTTGTTTCAGATGTTTGAGGGAATAGTGGTCTCGCTTTGATTTTTGCACTCTTCTATGTCTAAACTTTGCTCTATCCCACTTGCTACCTTTCCATCAAAATAACTATTGCTGGTTTTAATGCCTTTTGTTGGCATCAACTTTGAAATCACTTGATAGAAAAGATAAGACTGATAAAGGAGATATTATTACTAAGGAAGTATAGCAGACCTAGTCCTGTTGCCAATTTCATTTGACCTTGCTGCTGGAGTCCTTAGCCATAACGTGTAATTGAGATCCACAATGATCTTAAGAATTATGTGAGAGGAAGTTCTCATTCCCAATAAGTTCAGGACAGGTCAAAAGCAGGCCAGCTTTGCTATTTTCTGGCAAATCTTATGCCAAATACCAGTTGCTGAATTGGTATCAGTGCTTGATCTTGGGGAAAGCCATGAGGTATAACAGTGCAAGAAGTTTTACTCAATATATAACCAATGAACATTGTTTCTTGGAACGTTGATTGTAACATGAAAATGATGAGAATAGGTAACTAATCTTAAAAATTCTTCACTGAGTGAGTGTTCGTGTCCGGGAGCTGGTTAGGATTTCACAAGTTCAAAAAACCTGAATAAAAAGAGAAAGTTAATTCAGAAATCTCTTAAAGCTAAAACAGTAGTTACAGGTCTGGAACTGGTTAATCACTAATGTTTGTTTTACACATGAGAAAATAACAGTAATACCAGTGCATCTATACAAACATGAAATCAAAGATCAGTTCTACACTTAGTTGTAAACAGATTGTGCTCATAAGCTTGAATATCTGCTAAAAATAGTGGATTTGAAAGTTGGGATTGAGGGGACCACTGTAGGCAAGCCTTGTACTAGACACTGTCGAAAAAATTGCAATAGTGGTAAAACTGTGGCTGACATCCAGGTTTGTTATTTCTGGAACAACAGTATTTATCAAAACTGTTCATGTAACTTGAAATTATCTAGACAATTTAAAAAAAATCATATTATCTATTTGTGAAAGATTTAATGAAGAGATTCATACGTGGGAAGGGTATACTTCCTTAAGTTATTGGAAAGATTTCAGAATTGTTTCAAAATCATGACTCTTTTCTACAAAGAATGAGGTGAAGCTAAATTCCCTTTAACATCTTATTTCCAGTATAATACAGGAGAGAAGATGCACATACTTGAGATGTGCTCTGAGAAGGAATTGAGCTCTTTGCCATGACAAGCATGATATTGGACATGCAGTAAAGCACTTAGGCAGTCCAGCCGAAAAGTCTCTCCAAATGCTGTTAGGAGAGAGAATTTAAGGAATTTAGTGACATAAAATATGCAAAAGAGCAGCCTGGGCTATACAGGAATCATTAAACCCTCATTTATACTGAGATGTTTAAAGAGTAAGAAGCATACAAGTGGATTAATTTTTTTTTTTAATTAGGAATTGAAGACTTACGTAAAAGAGTGATTATTGTTGCAGCATAACTGCAGTAATATAAGTGTGTTTTATAAAAGCACATAATTGAAAATGTACTCAGTAGATAATTATGAAACCAAGACAGGCAAACTGAAAATGACAGATGTACACTGAATACAAGTACTGGGGATGTTGTTACTGGAAGGATTCCTATTTATGACTTCAGTAAACTGCTGGAGTCCATAACTTCTCTGCTCTAACTTCTCTGTGTTTCTGCTTATTGTGCTTAAGATTCTTGAAAAGTAGAAATTTTATCGAGAGATTTCATTTTAAAACTATAATTAGAAATATGTGTTTATATAGACTTCATAAAGGTCCAAGTAGCATATATGTGCTTTTCTTAAAATGGATTGTTTTCCAATAGTCATTTATGTGTTTAAAGCAAATAATGTCCTTGAAATTACATATTCTTAATTACATTTCACAGTTTTACATTGTAGCTTTAAATGAATAAATTTATAATTTCCTTTTTATGCTCTCTTCTTGTTCCTTAGATAATTACACAGTTTTGTAATCTGCATATGGCCTCTTTTTTTCAATTGAATAATTTGCTTCAAACAGCAAGATATTCAAATACAGCTAATATGAAAGGCTGTAGAATTATTGGTGACTAATAGTCATATGATTGGTGCATTACCAGTCTGTTTTGAATGCTTTTAATACAGGTGTGTTTTGAAAGCATTCCATTAATGTGTTTCTATAGAATTACGCTAGGGGACCTCTGAAGATGGACAGTTATCCCACGCTGTTGCTTCACTCAGTGTGAGAACATGTCCTTCTGCTCGTGCTGCTCTGTATTTTCTTCTCTTAAAAGATAGCTGACAAGAACTGTTTAAAAATAGCAGGCCAAGGGCAGGTGACAAAATGTCACACAAGCAGCACCTGGTCCAGTGACAGCCTGGAGGGAGGGGGAAAAAAACAAACCCAGATGTCACAGATATGATTCTATTTCTGAAGCTAGTCAAACAGCAGAATTTCAGCTTCAGCAAAGGAAAAGAGAAGGGCCCATCCAAGCATTATGCATTCAAATTTTCCTTTAGATTTTTCATAGCAGTTCCCTTTTTTCTATTACAAGTATTAGTTTATGAGTATAGGTTATTATATACCCCTTTTCTCTTTACAGGTAATACCTGTAACCTCATGCTCATTAATATGCTCTTAAGGGAATTAATATCAATCTGGCAAGATTTCTGAAATATTTTAGCACAAGCTTATACTAACTGAATAATAGCAGCTTTAATGTTTCTGCAGTGTAAGATTAATGTGAAAATATATATATAGGAGAATTATGTCTGTAATTAGGAAATCTGAAATAGTTAATGAAGATCTCTGTAAGAAGCTTTGCTCAAGGAGTTGGAAAGTAAAAATGGAAATTTTACTTACCTTCCTTCTGCCCCGGCTTGTTTCTGGACGTGCTGTTTGCTTCATAGTCTTACTGTGGCGGTACTTTTTTCTAAAAGCATGAGAAAATTACAATGTGAAGAAAATATATATTTGCTTTTCTTAAACTGCTTGTGACTTAGTTTCAGAAGTGTAATGAAACTTCATGTTACATCTGTTCAGAAAGAATATTAATTACAGCACAGCAGTCTCTGTGACTGGAAATAGAAGGCTTTAACATTGATAGGAACTAAAAATGTTGGAGAAGATAGGCTTTAGTTCTGCTTTGCCCAAAGCCTGTTTGTTAGAACTTGGTTTTGCAGAAGTACAGGAACTTAGTGGTTATATTGGTTCCTCAGTATGGTGAGTGGGTTCTTGAGCTCCCATATTTGAGTGCCAGTGTAGTGAAGAAATGTAAACTGCTTCCTTAGGTCCCAAACTTAACCACAAATCTAGAGATACGGAGAGCACATAAAATGGATTACAACACTTCTAAGTAACTTAAGTTACTTGCATTACTTAAATAAATTTTTATGTGGCTATAGTGATCCTTTTAATCCCTTTCCAATCAAGGACTATTATCAATTACAGATTTAAAATTGTTTCAAGGAGGGGGGGTTAATGAAGAATGTCCTGTTACAAAGTTTCTTCAGGGCAAGTGTTTAATACTTCAGTTGAGTTAAATAGTACCCAAAACAAAACCTAATTTGAACCATAGTACAGTTGGCTCATTTCTCGCTTTGACTGTAAAAGTAAATTTCTGTGGACTAAGTCACCTTTGAAACAAAGTAACTGTGTGTGAATTTGTTCTTACTTCCAGTCATCAAAGATCTTCTTAAGCTAACCTTTCAATTGTTAAATCTCACCTGAGAAAATTAGTACTATTTTGCATCTCTAGCTTTCTGGAAACTGGCATCAACAGAGTTCATTTGAATTCCATGGTGTGGCAGACCTTCTGTATATGATGGTCTCATATTATAGGTCAAGAATAAATATTTTTCAAAGTACATATGAATGTACTACTTGATAACAACACTCCTTCCAACCCAGTATCTTATCTCAAATAGTAAGTGACAGCAGATTCTTAGGGAAGAATTAAAAACAGGATAAGCACTCTGTCTCCAGTGATCTGTTAACTCAAGAGCTTCTGGTGTCACAGGTAGTATGGAAAATAATGATTTATTTTTGCCAATTAAGTGGAGTTTTTGTAATGCTCTACTCATTATTTGAAGCCTACTATAAATGGCATAACTGCAGCAAGATTGAACTTTGAGGCCTTACTTTGAAAGGGTAAATGTAATACTTTCCTAGTATAAAGCAAACAGATGTATTCAAAAATAAGTATTTCATTGTTTATTTTGTGATTTTCAGTATTTTGAGTGCATAACACTGAAGATACTATAGTGTTAAATATCGTAAATGTGTATTCTTGGGAAGTTGTCTTCAGTAGGTGGAAGGTTCAGCTACCCTGACTGTTCATTCCCTTTAGCAATTTTTCATATTAATGAATTTAATTCAGTTTTGAAATAAAAACATTAAAAATAGCTTTTATTTACATTGCAGGGCGTATGGGAATAAACTTCCATCATCCAGGAACAGACAATATTATGGCTCTTAATAGTAAGTAGTTAATATATAGTGACTAATATTGTCATGTTGAATATTATTTCTTAGATTTGTTGTGTATGTAGCTGTACAGTCAGACATAAATATGTAATAATATTTGCGTAGAGGTTTATGTGCACTCTCTTAAAACAGTTGTCATAAATCGATCGTCTCTGATTTTGTTGGTAGAATTGGTGATTGTTTATATTAGCTTTATAATAGCTTTATGTGTTCCACTGGAAGCTTCATAATGCCTGCTGTAGATAATAATGCAAAACAGTTCTGTTGTTCCCTCTTTTGTGGGTGTGTATGTGTGTTAAATCTGTAACTTTCATTTCTGATATCTCTCCAGACATATTTCTTCTTGTTGGTATGAGTTGTTACAAGTTTTGCATATAATTACATTGACTGATGGAGTTTGTTGGTTTCCCTAAAACATTACGTAGACAGGACTGGAGAGACTGTTTAGACATCTGAATAATGAGGAGCATGGGGCTGAACTTCACTGAAAGATTATTGCTTTTATTTGTGTTAGAAAATAAAAATAAATTAAAAAAAAAATCCTGTCACGAGCATATGCATTCTAAAACCCAGCCAAAATGGATCTGGAAGCTCTAGAGGCAGCCTGGTGTCAGGGGTGTGGGGGGGTATAGAACTGAACTATGCAAATCAAAGCATAGTTTTTGTCCATTTAATCCTAAGAAATGCTAACTATTGTGAAACGTCCATTTTTGCTTACAGTGTTGGTTTTAGGATTAATTTACTAACTTCTCTAAAATTTTTTGTCTTTACACTGTCTATATAAGTCATACTGTGTATAGTTGAAAACTGCAGTTTTTTGTGTAGTACCAAACAGAATTAAAAAATAGTTTATAAATGTGAAGAACTGAAAATCTGTAATAGACAAGATGCAAGGATTTTAATATTTGGCTTTAAATGCCAGCGTTTGGAATCTATAAGACTTTGCTTGTGTTCTTTTTCTTAGTTTTACAGTGTTAATGATGAGGTGATAATTTGCAGAGTTTCTGTTGTTGTAGTTAGCACATATGCCCATTTTCTTATGGGCCCATGAAATTATGGGAAATCAAGTAATTAACTGGGAGAAATGCTCCATTTAATTAAAGATTCTATTAACAGAGGAAGCTGTTCATGTGGGTGTGCGTGTGTGTAAATAAGTTCTACACAGTACAGTCTGCTGCTGTTTGACATGAATTCTGATCTCAGAATCTATTTGTTGTTCTAACGTGTGCATTTCAATAAGCTGGTTGCAATCGTAATATAATTGTGAAGATGGGAGATTATGATGGACTCCTGAATTTTTTAAAAATTGACAGTTACTATGGAATATATAGCAGTATTTCTTACAAGTCTTACAGAGATTTTTGAAAGACAGGAATGAAAAAAAGTTATACTATATAATGTACTATATCAAATTAGGGTTGTTTCATTTTGGGACAACTCACTTTTATCCTAAATGGATGAAAATAGTCTGTTTGGATTTCTGTCATTGCTAGATAAACTTTAAAAAAAAAAAAAACAACCAACCTTGCCTTTTTAAAGGAAATAATATTTAAGAAAATATTTCTTCCTGTCTAATTCCTTTGAAATTTTTACAGTAGCTGTATTATCTAATTGTTTATAAAAAGTAATGTTCATTTGCAGCTATAGTCCTGGTGTATGGCTGAAATATTAGTATAGCTGAGGGACCTAAACAAAATATATTTATGCATTTCCAGTATTTAAAATATTATGAGTTTAATTGAAATATTAACTGTTTACAGACTTACATAAACCTGGGGTCATAAGTATGCAAATTATGCAGAATAGAAGGGATTGTTCTTTTGAGTGAAATTCAGCGCAAATCAGAAGTCTGGATAAGTTCCCATATATTTTCCCTCTCCTGCATCCTTTTCCCTCCCATTCTTTACTAGGTGAGGCCGCACCATTTTTGGCCATTACTAAGAGCCCAGAAGCTAGAATTATTATACTGTGAAACCTGTTGGGTTTAGCTCTTAAATCTTTGAAGAGTTGAGAATAAAAAGCCAGTATTCAAGTATTTAAGTATTCAACTTAAAAATTACTTTCTGTGATTTCAGTCCTCTTTTGTATGCAGCTGAAACTGAGAAATTTAGAACTATGTAATTCCCATGTGATCCATTACCTTTGTAATGAGGAAATATAGTAAGGAAAGTTAGTCCAAGAACAAATATTCTTTCCTGTGCTGGAATGGTTGTGGATTGGGTTTTAAAAAAATAAGTAAAATAAAAATTCCCAAAAGATATTTCATCCCAGTAATTTTTGGAACAATTTGGGGAACTTATGTAACTTCTTTAAATCATAATACTTGTAATATCTATATATAATTTCTGTGAAACCAAACACTGTCTGCTGAATCTGCAAATCCAGCCTTCACATTCTATTTATAGTTGTTGCTACATAAGCATTTTTCTCTTTTCCTGCAAAGACACAGTAATAATCTTTAAGATTTATTACTCAAAGCTTGATTTCTCACTAATAGTGTGCGCAGTCTTTTGAAGCTGGAAGACAACATAGGCTCGTGCCAACAGCAATGCAAAACTTTACTTCACATGTTGTAGCGAAAGGGGAAGTTTTCTGAGGGATGATAGTCTCTTTAGCTCCTTCTCATCCTTTATGGCAACACTTTCAACTGTGCTTCAGCTGGTATTCTTGTTTACTGATTACAGCTGTTTGAAACTAGCAGTTTTCCTGTCTGACTGTCTTGAGCTACTGTCTGCAAACATTGAAGGGGATTATTTGGTTTGAGAGAAGGTGTTACTTGCTTAGTTGGCAGGGCTTAGTGTAGAGCATACTACCACCATGTTGTTCATCATTGTGCAAGGCTATAAATCATCCTCATGTCAAAGCACTGAATTATGAAATAATAAAATTGGTGACATACAAGGGATTACTTTTAAATGCATGATTATTATGAATCTCTTCTTGTCATTAATGGTGTTATGCTTGTGTACATACACAAACTGTTGCACATGTGTATAAGCATGTTCATATTATACAGGCATTTGAAGTTCTCCATCAGAATTAGTTTTCTGTTGATGAATGCAATGTTCAAATATTTTCAGAGGTCTTAGCATAATCCAAAAGAACATTTAAGCAAAAGAAAGATGCAAATATTTAGATTTGAAACATTGTGCAAAGGGAAAAGGCTATAGTTTTTGTGTGTACTAGCTTTAATTGAAATTTTTCAAAATAGTGTTTTTAATCAAGTAGTGGCATTGGTTTGCTAACTTTTTAATAATGTCATTCATACTGAGCTAAACAGTAGAAGAATTTTTACAAACTTTCATCTACAGTCCCTTATTAAGTAAAATTGATACATTAATTTCTAGGGGAAATGTGGCATAAATTGAACTATTAATTTTATTTACATAAATTCATGTATGAACTTAAAGAGAAACCATCTACTGATGACACTTTTAGCAATGTTTGCAGTACTAATTAACAGTTATGTTTACAATACTAAGCAAAACCTGAAAATAAATTAAGTTGCTTTGCCAAGATTAACTTGAAGGTGTCCTCCATTCCTTTCTCTTCCTAGTATTCACTCCCATTTGCAGTCATACATTTCTGCAACCATTATTTCTGTTTGGGGGACAGTGGATATTCTCTTGAGTTAATATGTGCTCCTTTTTAATTAGCTATATAAATAGGACTAAATGAATACCATGAATACACAGTCACCTACATGCTAGGTAGTGAGCCATCTTTAATGCTTCTTGTGAACTCCAGAAAGCTAACAATAAACTGTAGTGGGAGAGAAGTACAGCAGGTAAAAAAGGGAGACAGGGAATAAATGAGGGGGTGTGATCTTTCTAAGGAAGCACTGAATTGTATTGCTGGGATCCCAGACAAACTTCTGTAAAAGGCATTTAGTCTAAAGGTAGTTGAACCAGCAAATGAGAAAAACCCTTTTGTGAAATGCTGGAATTTTGTTTTTCTTAAAGGTCCTCTGTACAGTGACTTTGCACTGCTTTTGGGCTTCAAATGTTCCATCTGCTTCCAGTGTTCGTTCTTGTCTCATATGAAAATGTGTCATCTATGAGGTCTGGTACTATTTGCTTTCCATCTGACTGTCTTTTCTTCTTTTCATTAGTGTCATTTACTTGTATTCTGAGTAAAATAATTTAAAAAATACATTAAGGCAAGGGTTTAGGGCACCTTTTTAGATGTTTGTGTAGAGATTTTGTTTTATTAATATAGATAACAGTTAATGTGGGGAAATCATCATGCCATGACAGAAAATGTAATGCCAGCAAAACAATTTCATTTTTTATTTTCATACTTCTATTGGTTTTAAAATTGCCCTGTCTCCTTAAGAGCTATTGTACTTGGCTTCTGCTATATTCTGATGTATTGTTTTCAAACACATACAGTGTTTAGATATAATGAAGCTGCTGAAATCGCATTTTGTATTTAAATCTTCTGCCAGTGCTGTGGGTATATCTTGAAATGAACTGCTGCAAATAGAAGGTTTATTGAATTATTTTTGTCTTGCAAAATTTTGGGTTGGCAGTTTAATAGCTAATAAAAGCTTGGTTTTTGTAGTAATGATATTCTGGGAAAATGTGCAGCTACATTTTGAGAGGCATCAATCTCTTCTAATAGTTTGGTACCTGCCTATAGGAATTTGCTGAGCTCTTTAGCTCAGTTGCCAAGTCAGGTTACTAATGTGTGACTAGCTTATTAACATATAAGGAGTAATAGAAAGGAATAAAAGACACCAAGAGAGCTAATAAGATTCGCAAACTAGACCTAATTTAATTGTGAAGAGATCAGAGTTTATTTAACTGAAGGGGGAAAAATTAATGATGCAAGGTGTAATATAGCAAAGGCAGCGGACTTCATGAGAGTCCCAGAGTGTGCGAACTGTCACTTTACACATAACCTTGTTAAGTTTTTCAGAACCAGCTGTACAAACAGTATTGATGCTGCCTTGGGGGCTATAAGGCGGGCTAGCTGACATCTCAAAGTCCCTTCTATAGCT